AAAGTTAACTATAACCGAATAAAAGGAGCCGGCCAAGAGGCCACCTTAACACCAAAAAAAAAAAAAAAAAAATAACTTTCACTTAATAAGTATGATTGATTTACTTAATAATTTTTTTTGTAATTAGCAAAAAATATTTTTATCCAATAATAAGCTACCTGCAAAATTTTTGTATAACTTTTTGGCCAAAAATGGTAGCTTATTTTTGGATATATATATGTTATTGTTTATTAATATTTTCAATTCTTTTGTATTATTATTTTGCTGATAATATTAAATAGTACTTTGCTTTCTGGTGCTTTGCTTTGTTCTTTTATTAAAACTTCATTTTTACTAGTACTAATATTTTGCTTTTCTAGTGTTTGCTCTTTTGCTAAAACTTTACTTTCTGGTGTATTACTTGCTTTTCTGATATTTTACTTTTTTGGTATTTTGCTTTGCTCTTTTACTAAAACTTCATTTTACTGATACTTTGCTTGCTATTGCTTTGCCTTTTTGATATTTTACTTTTTTGGTATTTTGTTTTGCTCTTTTGCTTTTATTGGTGCTTAATTTGCTATTGCTTCATCTTTAACTAGTTTCTTTTTTATATCATATTATTGAATGCTTTCAATTTTTTTGTTATTGTTTCATTAGTAATATTAAGTAGTATTTGCTTTGCTTTGTTCTTTGCTAGAACTTCACTTTTACTAATATTAGTGTTTTACTTTTCTGATATTTGCTTTTTTGCTAAAACTTTATTTTACTGGTATTTCAATTTGCTACTGTCTTGTCTTTCTAATATTTTGCTTTTTTAGTACTTTGCTTTGCTCTTTTGCTAGAACTTTACTTTTTTTATACTCTTTTGCTAGGACTCACTGATGTTGTATTGTATTGCTAAATTGTTTAAATAAATATTAATTTTTATTTTTTGTTTTCTATATTATTTTATTTTACTAACTAGTTTCTTTTTTTATAGTATTTATATCATATTGATGATTTGTTATTATTTTGTTATTTGTAGGTATAATTATCTGATATGATATTATTATATACTAATATTATCTTTTATTAGTTTATTT